TTGGTAGAAGGAGATTACTTACCCAAAAGAAGTCTACAGCAATAAATGACAGATATTGATAAAAAAAAAACAAACCCGAAAAGTATTCAGATTTGTGCTCCTGTCTTCTTTTCTCTCTTCAATTCAAAGGCTAATAACCCTGTCCCACCTCCTTCAAGAAGTAATTTTTCCTTTTTTTCATTTTCTGTTTTTTACTGGTCTCATCCCTTTTGTCTACAAACATATTCAGGTCTCCCCAGCTGTACTTCTGTACCCCAAATCAACCCGGCTACGTGATCTATCTTATCTCTTCTCTCAAATATTGTCTCTATTTCCTCTCCATCAATTTATTTGTTCCTCCACCTCTTACAATCTGGATTCATTCTATCTACCCTTCCACTTTACTGAAACTGCACTCTCAAAGGTCACTAATGACTGGGTCCTAATTGCCAAACCTAGTGGACACTTCTCAGTAACTGATCTTTTAAAACTGTTTGAGGACATGTCCACTGTTTAGCACAGGGCTTTGCACACAGTTGTCATTTAAAATTTGTAGAAGTGAACTGACCACATCCTTCCTTTATTCTTGAAAAACTCTTTTTTTCCTTAGGCCCCATAATACTCTCCAAATCCTCCTTTTTCTGGATTGTCTCTTTTGTTTCTCATGCCGGTCCACTCTCCTGGCTTCAACTGTCTCCTTTATTCAGAAGACTCTTAAATCTAAATTTCTAACTTCAACTTATCTCTCAAGCTAGGATTTTTAACTACTTGCCAGATATTACCACTTGAGTAAAGAATTGGAAATTGAGGAAATTCCCATCAATTGGGGAATGGCTGAATAAGTTGTGGTATATGAATGTAATGGAATACTACTGTGCTATAAGAAATGATGAGCAGGCAGACTTCAGAAAAACCTGGAAAGACTGACATGAATTGATGCTGAGCGAAGTGAACAGAACCAGGAGAACATTGTGCAATGACCAACTTTGATAGACTTAGCTCTTCTCAGCAATACAATGATCCAAGACAATTCCAAAAGACTTGTGATGGAAAATGTTATCCCGCCTCCAGAGAGAGAACTGATTGATGGCATCTGAATACAGATTGAAGCATATTATTTTCACCTTGGTTTTTTTTTTTTTTGGTGGCTTTTCCTTATTGTTGTGGAAATATGTTTCCATGATTGCATATGTATAACCTATATCAGAATGCTTGCTGTCTTGGAGACCAAGGAGGGAAAAAAAGGGGGGAGAAAATTTTGGAACTCACAATCTTATAAAAATGAATGTTGAATACTATCTTTACATGTAATTAGAAAAAATATTAAAAAAAGATACTTCCACCTGTTTATTCCAACAAATTTAACATGCCCCCAAATGAATTTATCTTCCCTCCAAAATCTGTTCTTCCTCCTGACTTTTCTTACTTCTGACAGTGGTTCCATTAGTTTTCTAGTAATCCAGATTTAAAACCTATCAATTTTTACTTGTCTTTCAGTCCCCAATTCAACAAGACGCCAAGTCCCATTATTTCAATATCTACTCACTAAGTTGAATCCAATATGTTCTCTCCACTCTACCAACCTAGTTCTGGCCTTCTCGGTTACACTATTACAAAAACTTCCTTACTAATCTCTCTGCCTTTAGGCTCTCTTTTATAAATTTGGTCAAGTCGGATGAATTTTCAGAGCGGAGCTCTGATCTTGCCAATGCTTAAAACAAAAATCCTTAGTGCTTCTCCATCACTCATGAAAGAAAGTCTCAACTTCTCTGCCGGCGGCCCAAGCCCAAGACTCGGCCCCAGCCTGCTCTTCCCTCCGCTCTCTACTTCCTGAACACTTGCATTTTCACCGCTGCTGCTGCTGCTGCCTTTACTCAGACCGGCTTTTCTTCTTGGAAAACACCAGTATTTTCCCCAAATCCATTTGTGCTACATATTTTTCCAGATCCATGAAGCCTTTTTTCATTCCTCTAGCTTGAAGGTCTCTCTCCCTTCTGTACTGGTCTCATTGTGCTTTCATATTTTAAATTTGCATTATCGTTACTTGGGTATGTTTTGTCTTTTCTACTAGATAAATTCTATCAGGTAGGGGATAGTTTCTAGCACATAGTAGGCCTTAAATATCTGTTGAAGGAATGAATGGTTGGACTTCACCTTATGCCAAAATCTAAAGCTATCATTTTCAATTTCATTTCTGTCCCATGCATACACCTTAATGAAAAACATTTTAATGAAGCTAGGATAATAAGGCGACAAGCATGACGAGAATTCTAGCCCCAAATCTACCAACGTGAGATTAGTTACGTGACCCTGGGCAAGCCGCTTCATCTCTCTGGGTCCTAGTTTCGTGCGTAAAATGAATGGGTCGGATCATATAATCACTAAGTTTCTTTCTGGCTCTAAAACAAAATGTGATAGTATTTGTGATACCATGACCCATTTTGTTCTACGAGGTTTTTTTTTTTAAAATTAGGGCAAGAATGTTGCTGTAAAAGTTGTTCAGTAAATATAATTCACCTCAATTTGTCTATAAACAATTTAGTTTCCAGCAGCATTCTACCAACCTGAGGGTTACAAATTTAAATCAGCTACAATAATTAATGCTTGAATGCTTTAGCTGTAACAACTGAGCAAGAAACAAGGGGAAAATACTTGTGGCTGGGCCTTTAAAATTTAATTTATATAAGACTTTGGTGGTTATCATAATTTATCTTCTGTAGTTTTTAGGGCTTTTATTTCTATCAGCTCGGGAGATTTACTGAATCTATTTTACATTTTAATTCATAGTGACGCTAAGATCTACATAGATCCCCAGATTTTGTCATTATAACTATCTTTGCTGTATAACAAATACAGTAATAATATATGATTATAAAATAACAGTTTAGCACAACACCTAAGAATTGCTGATGTGGTTTATATACCTTCACTTTTGATCATTAAATAAATATTCAAGATGTTATACCCATTTTACAAATGAAACTCAGGTCCAGGAAGGTGAGGTGACTATTATGTGCAGGAGGGGAATTTCACCAGCATCTCAAACACATTATCTTCCCCTAAACCTGGCCCTCCTTTCAGACTAGTGAAGACCCCATCATTCACTGTCGCCTTGGATAATAACCTTACAGATTCACCCCTGACTCTTCTCCTCCTGGTGCCACCACAGCCACTTTCATGCTGCTCTTTTCTAGGCCAGACCTTCCTTACTTCTCAACTAGACTAGGGCTTCTTAAAACTTTTCCCCTCCTCTTTTCGTATTTCAGCAGCCTTAATTGGACACTGCGTGGCCCGAGGGCATGCACGCTTTGTGTTCACAACCAAGTGAAGTTGCTTGATGCTGCCAGAACACCTCAGATTCATTTTTGCATTTTATTTTTAATTAATTTTTGGTTGTTGCACAGTCAGAAACCTTTAAGAAGTGCTAACTAGACTAGGGTTGGCAAACTATAGCCTGAAGGACAAAAGAGCATTTAAAAATATAAATCTTATTTAAAGGGGGTGAAAATGATTCTAGCTTGTAGGCCATTCAAAAGCCAGGTAGCTGGCAGTTTGCTGAACTAGATGTCAGCCTCCCAACTGGGGCCCTTTCCCATCTATCCTCCACACTGATATTAAAGTCACATAATTAAGGTATAGATATGACAATGTCAGTTTCCTGCTCAAGAATCTCCAGTGGCTCCCTATTGCTTGCAGATTCAAATACTAACAACTTTTGGCATTTTTACAGTTTTTCACAACTTGGCTCCAGCCTATAGGTCAATGACACATTTCTCCTTCATTCCCTCTACCTTTCAACCCAAATGACCTATTTGTTGTTCCCACACATACAACACTTCACTCTCCCAGCTTTGTGCTTCTCTATGTCTGGGGGGCACTACCTCCTTGCCTCCAACTATCAGACTCCCTGGTTTCTTTCAAATCTGAGTTTAAGTGCCATCTCCTTCATAAATCCTCTCCTGATCCTTCCAGCTACTAGTGCCTCCCCCTGAAATCAACTTCTATTTATATAGTTACCAATATAGCTAATGTTGCTTCTTCCTGATAAAAAGGCATTTTTGTTTTGTATCACAAGCATTTAGCACAACACCTAGCACTGACATTTATTAATGTCTGGTACTCAACAAATGCTTGATCGATGTGTATCAGCATTCTGATACTCTGATACTATAGCTGAAACACTGAACACAAAGTGACCAAAACATTCCTAATTGGCAAAGGAGAAAACCTAATCAAAAGAGTGTAGGCATAATTATAATCAGCTTGCCTAAAATGCTAAGTGGCAGAAAAATTATATTATCTAGATTATTACTGATTTAAAACAAAAAAGACACGTGCTGCTATGACTGATAGGACCTTCAACAGTTGACTTTTAAAAATCATAGCTGTGTTCAGTTGAGCCCACCCAAGTTAACCATAACTAATAATGAATTTTTAAACCTCAACCTACTTCTAAAGAAGAATCAATCTAATTAAATGCCCTGACTGTTAAAACTATGAAAAAACAATGATTTAATCAATCTGATGCATGGACCCAAGAACCCTACCTTCCCTCCTCCTACCTAACACACACAGCCAAGATTAAATGCTAGGAATTTAGCATCAGGAGAGCTTTAAGTCTTTGAGTGACAACTGCTAATAGTGAATAAAACCCCCCTATACATAAAAAAAAATAATGGATAGGAACCAGATCTGTGATTTCATGAGTAAAAGGAACATCTGAAGAGGAAGCTCCCTCTTACCAACATAGGTCAGGACATTTTTTGACTTAAGGGTCAGTCTTGGAGCCATTGCTCAGAGGATTGAGAGGCTAAGTGATGTCCCCAGGGTTAGAAAGCCAGCCAGGATATATCAGAAGCCAGTCTTGAAGCCAGGTCCTCCCTGGCTCTCAGGATGGCTCTCCAACCCTTTTACTACATTTTCTTTCATCTACACATATTCTAAATAATTATGGATCTTCAATCTGTCTAAGTACATTAAAAATGGCACTTAATTACAATCACACATTCAACTACTATTACCTTCACTGCCACTAGCGATGAAGTCTTCATTATGGCCTCCAAAACATGAGTGAATTGTGTAAAATCCTTGTGTAACACCTTGATACTTTCTCACTAAAACTCTGTCTTGTAAGTCCCATAAATGAACTCCCTATAAGCAAAAGAAATCATAGGAGTTTATTTTACCTTAAAGGAACAACATTCTTTTCCCCCCTAAGTTATTTTTATTTTCTATTTGTTATGAACAAGTGAAGTAGTTATCTTTCGATAAAATTCAATGTTATTTTAAGTGTCATAGATACATCAATTTAATATTGGATAGACCTATTTCTATTCACTTGCATATAAATAATAAAATCACAATTGGTATTCATTTGAAGAAAACATATTGGAAAATTATTATAAACTTACCTGAGTTGCTACATTTAACAAAGCTAATCGGCCATTTTTTGAAATAGTAAAAGACATAATAGGGTGATCTTCTTGTACTCTGTTATAAGAACACACAGAAAAAATGCTAGTCAGTGTGGTAAAGATTAGAACATATTTAAAATTTCCAAAAATGGGAAACCCCCCAGATTTTTGGTAAAAATGACACAATTTTTTCTGTAATTAACATGATCTTTATACTTGACTGCGAAAAATTAATCTGAATCAAAGGCGATTAGATGCCATTTAACCATTTGTTCCAATGCATTTTTAAAAATGCTTAACATCTGTTATTTAATAAAAAACAAAAACAAAAAACAATAGTTACATGTTTCTATCTGTAAGGTCCTCAAAGTTGTATCCCCGAATTCGCTGGTGTGTGTCTGATGCCAAAACAGTCTTCCCATCACTTAAGCACCAAAGGCATTGCACTCTTACCCCTTCCCAGGAGTCAAGGAGATTACCATCTAAATCCTAATCAGGAGAGAATTATAATTGACAAGAGTGGTCAGAGAAAACCATAACAATTTTCCAAAACAAAAGTATATGTTTTTCTTAGTAATATCTTTTAAAAATATTTCCCCCACTTGATGTTAATTTCAACCTTGTTATTTCCAAGTATTCCTACTCAATCATAGGAATCTAAACAGTCCTATGAAAATAAATATAACCAAGACAAAAATTTCAGTGATGAAGTTCTCCAAGCTTTAGGCAAGGGGTTATGTACTGAAAGAATTACCAGCAAAGAGAAACTATTCTGACACCTGGACATTGGTTTTCTGAAGCTGACCAAAATGGGATTTTTGGAAATGTGTTTCACTGAAAATTTATCAGGAATTATGGCATTAAACAGAATCTGTTTTAAGTAGGCTCATGAACCCCTTATAGGCATTTGAGTTTTCTTGTAGAGAGACTACAGATGCAGAAATATTAGCAAAAGGATACATAGTTCTCCCTCACAGTTTAAGGTTTACCCTTTAACAAACTTTCACTTACTAGTGAGGCCAAGATCAACTCTGTACTAGTTTCACAAACAGTTCACTAAATGTGTGAAGTTAAGAGATATAAATTTCCAAGATAAATACTCGTCATGGATCCACAGAAAATGTTTTTGAAAGGGGTTCTTCAACTACAGATAACCTCCAATTTAATTGACCTATGCTGTAGTGAAACCTTTTAAGTTTCTTAATAATCAACCAATACAAAAAGTGTTTATTGTGTACCTTGCATGTGCCAAAAACAATGAAGTACAAAGAACACAAATTTCCTCACAATTGTTATGCCAGGTACTTTTAGAGTCCTGACTTTTTCCATAGCATTTTTAATGTTATCCAGTATTATTTTCCAAGTACGTCAGACTAAGATTCTAAAAACTTTTTGTAAAACTAATCCTACTTTTACTTAAAATTTGAATCACTTTACTGCTAAATAAGATTTATCTAAGAAGAATTCACATTAAATCAGACCAAATTTGGTAGGCTTAAAATGAAATGCAATCCTTTGACTCCAACACAATTTAGCAATAAATCTAGTAACCATAAAGAATAAAATATATTTCCCATATTTTATCAAATACCTTACTAAACTCAAAAGAAGGCGGCTTGGTATGGACAAGGAAAACAGTGAAATACTGACCTGGTCTATTTTTAGTCACTTTATTTTTGTGAGCACATTAAAGCGTTTTTTAAAAAGTTCTCTTATTCTGGCAAATATTTTGATCTAGTAAAATAGGACACCGAGTCTTAAGTTAAGTCAATAGCTGGTAATAAAGTAGATTCCATTTTTTCTGAGTAAACACAAATTAAGAACTTCATTCACAGAAATGTGATTCTTGAAGGGAACACTGTAGCACTTACACACTGGTAGAACTGTCCACGCTGCCCTCCAGTTACAAAGCGTTTCCCATCTGGATTCCAAGCCACACTTGTTAAACTGTCTTCATGAGACTGGCTCATCTTCGTCCTCAGCTCCCCTGTCTACAAAAAAAAAAAAAAAAAAAAAAAAAAAAAAAATGGATAAGACCTATCCTTCCTTACCACTACTTCAGGGAAAATGTGTTTAAAAAAAAAAGCGTGAATTAATGCTAACTATGGAGGTCTATGAGAACAGTGCTATATACTTACTTAGAGAAATACATCATTTTAACAGTAATACTAAATAAAGATTTCATGTGATAATATCCCCTCCCAAAATGAAATTATCATCTGATAATTTACTAGTTTACAATGAAATGGGTGTGCAATTTTTTCAGAATAACAGCATAAGAATAGCCCAAGGCCACTACCCCTACTTAAAAAATAACCTAAGATATCTGAATGTAGAATGCTGACCCACCATAAAGGTGGGTAAGGTTTGTTCTCTCCTCCTCTCCCTCTCTTTATAAAGAACATACAGAGGACTGAAAGCAATAAATCACATCCTGGAATGGTTTGAAGAACAAGATATTTTCTAGATAAGCTGATTAAAAACTATTTTCTTTTGAAGGAGTTTCTGAAGCAAATTAAAGTGATACACAGTAAAAGTAGACAGGATGTCAAGACATACTTGACTGAATGGACACTGGTCCAAATGAAAACTTGAGATTTTTAAGTTAGAAAACAAAAAAACCCACAATTTCAGTATTAAAGTATACACACTGCCCTTTCTGTGTCACATTGGAAGTCTTAATGGAGAATTAATAATAGAATCAGAATTGCAATTACGGCATTTCAGCCTCAGCTATTTTCTAGTATACTTGCTTTTATGGTCTTCATTCTGCTAAGTTCTTTAAATCCTCCTTTCCAATAGCTGTTCAATGAAGCAACAATGAAAATATTTATAAATATGTTGGACTCAAGCCTATCCATCTAGGTTTTATCTCAACCTCAGAGACAACCTGAACTATTCTTATGCTTTCTTTAGAGTTAAAAAAAATAGCATTGCAAAAAAATAGCATTGCCTCACAAGCCAGCTAACAATAAACTTTTTTTGCAGCTTGATAAAGAAATGAAATAGTTCCAAACAACTGAGGCTTACTTCCAAGGCCAAAACAAAAGTAAATGTCTTATTTAGGGTGAGAAGTAAATTCCAGAACTTGAACTCTGGTGAAGCTGTGCATGGCATCTGGGAAAAAGAATATCTGGCATTACCAAGTTAAATCTGAATATACTATTAAAAGGTAGCCAGAAAAGTTAGAGTATTACGTAGAAAATTAAGATTAATGCCAAATTTACTACACATATCCACAATGACAAAGGTAATTCCAATATCCTTAGACTGTTATAAAATCCATCCTTTTGTGACAAAGCATAAGCTAAAAAAAGACTCCTGAAAAATGTTTACTAGACTGGTTTTCATTTGCTTTCACAGCACCACAGTGTAGACTTGTAAATCCCATAACAGAAAATTAAAAGTAGAGCTATTTGAAAGTTTCTTTTTACTTAGCTACTCTGATTGATACAATGATCCCTAACAATTCCAAAGGACTCAGGATGAAAAATGCTAAATCTGATGAACTGTGTGCAGACTGAAGTATACTTTTTTTCACTTTATGCCTCTTGGTGGCTTTGTTTTGTTTTTGATTTTTTTTAAAGCAACATGGCTAATATGAATATGTTTTGCATGACATGTATAATTGAGATCATGTTGCTTGTGTCCTCAAACGGGTGGGGGAAGGGCAGGAGGAAGAAAAAAATCTGGAAATAAAAATATTTTTTAAATGAATACTAAAAATAAATTTTAAAAGAGGTTTTTTTAATAAATGGATTAAGTTTATCACAATAAATTCACCCTGACTTTAGTCATCAAATTGAGTACATCTGTAATGAATACAAAGAACAGAGTTGTTGCTTACTTGTACATTCCAGAGCCAGAGCTCAGAGCAGTCATCTGGGCCACAAGCTACAAGATAGTTGTCATCTGGACTCCAAGCAATATAAGAAACACCATAAGCATGCCCTTCTAATGTTTTAAGCAATTTTAGCTGGTGTGTATCCTGAGAAAGGAAAAAAAACAAACTGACAAATATTTCGAACCAATATGGTTTTGGTTTTTCTTTTGGTTTGTCACTTTATTAAACTGCTGCTAAAATACTTGATTAGTACTCTTTGGGACAAATCTGCTTGGCTTTTCTTTTCAAGCTACAGCTTAAGCACAATGCTTCTTTTTCTTTTCTTTCACATTTATTTTAATGAATAAAAATCTATTTTCTCTTCTTCCTATTTACCCCTATCATTCAAAAAGAGAAGAAAAAACTCTTGTAACAAATATGCATAGTCAAAAAAAAGATTGATTTCTGGGGGCAGCTAGGTGGCACAGTGGATAGAACACCAGCCTTGGAGTCAGGAGGACCCAAGTTCAAATCCAGCCTCAGACACATAACACTCACTAGCTGTGTGAACCTGGGCAAGTCACTTAACCCCACGGCCTCATCAAAAGAGAAAAAGAAAAAAAAAAGATTAATTCCTACACTGACCATGTCTAAAAAAGTCTCCATTTATACTCCATTTACCTACTGTCTCTAGGTAAGGAGATGGGCTGGGCATTTCATCAGGGATCTCCAAGGGTGTGTGACAGGTCTCATTCTACTCTTCTTGTTATGCCTTGTCTCTAACAGACCCAAACCTACCCTCATCCTCTAATACTGCTCTTTTCAACCTTTCCTTTATCCATGCCAACTTCTCCCACCTCTGAGCTAGGGTTGGCCCTTCAGGGCAGTCATAACTTAACTACTGGACATCCACAGTAATATGGATATCCAAAGAAATAATATACACATACTCTTGGGAAAAGTCCTCCCTCACCCTCTGGCTCTGTGCTCTGAAGGCAGTGAGCCACGACCCCATTGTCTAGATGGGATAGAGTGAGTCTCACAGGATAAGCAAGTACAGATGAATTGTGATCTGCATCAGAAATTTCTTTACATTATTTTTCATTCCAAATCCACTCTCTTTCCACACTTCTCCTTTACTGTCAAGAATACCACCATCCACCCAGTTTTGCAACCTTAGTGTCATTTTTTTGATTCTTCATTCTACCTCACCTCACATACAGATCAATTGCCAAATCTTGTCATTTCTCCCTTCATATTTCTTACATCAATCTGCTGTTCTCTACTCACAAAACCATCATGGTTTAGAACTTCACCATCTCTTTTGAAATACTCTAGTGGCTTCCTAATTGGTTTTCCTACTTCAGGTCTTTTACTTCTCCAATCAATCTGGCAGAGATTTTCCTAAAGCACACATGTGACCTGTCATTCCCCTACTCAAATTCTAGTGGCTCCCTATGAACTCTACGCTCATATAGTTTCATCATTTAAATTTTGGTGTAAGTAAAATAAGTAAATGTACATATAATTGGGAAGAGATGAATGCCCCAAAATTTATCTTTGACTACCTGGCATTGTGCTAAGTGCTGGAGACACAAAGAAAGGCAAAAGACAGCTCCTGTTGCTCTTAAGAAGCCTACAGTGTAACGGGGCAGACAACATGCAAACAATGATGTACAAACATCAGGATAAAGTGGAGATAATCAAAGGGAGAGAAGCACTAGCACCAACTAGGATTGGGAAGGATTCTTGCAGAAGGTAGGAGACTTTAGCTGAGACTTGAAGGAAGGCAGGGAAAGTAGGAGGTAGGGATGAGGAAAGAATTCCAGGCATGATCACAAAAAGTTTAGAGACCACTGGAATAGAGGACACTCCTCAACTTTGAGAATATTCATTTAAGGTCAAAATTAAAATGATAATTCCAGGGTATGTCACATTCAAAATCTCATTAGGTTTAACTCAGAGCTAGTACTTTATATCTGTACTTTACACCTAACCACTTAAGTGGATTTTGAATGCTGAGAAGGCCACTTTTAGGACATCTCATAGAGCCCTCAAGCTCAACATCCTAAAAAACCCAAACATTTTACTTTATATTATGCAATATAGCTAGAGTTAGTTCTGTATTTAAGACAAAATCTTTAAAGAACATTAGTCTTCTATGGCAGCCTGAAAAAAATCATTAGACCCAGATTTTCTTCCCTTTAGTCCACATGTTTACCTCACCCACATTCATTAATGCCAACCTTCCAGTTCCTCTCTGTATTATAAGACTAGAATCACACTGGTTATCTTATTAACAAAAAATACATCTAATTACTCACTTAAAAAAATTATGAAACCATATCAAAAAAATGGAAAGACAAGGGGCTTAACATTTTAAACCTCAGTATCCAATTTTCTTAAAGCTCATTTACTTCCTCTAGTAGCAGAAACATGTTTATTTGCATGACTAACATACACATGAAAATTAGTTATAATATTTATAAAGTGCTTTACAACAATTTCACTTGATACTCCAAACAATACTGTGAAATAAATATTTTAAATATACCTATATGTTTCAGAATATTAAATTTAGAAATTGGTCAGCCAAAAATTAAGCCGAGCACCATGCTAAAATTTTAAATTATTCACAATTCTACTTGTACTATGAAAGAAAGACTATTGACATTCAGTGGCCTTAATTAAGCAATGATATGTTTGCATTCAATAATGGCCCAAAGCCATTTAACTGAACATGAATGAATCGATTTTGTTAGAAAAGGTATTACACCTTATAACATGACTTGCTGCTGTTTTCCCCATTTCATTCTGCTTTTTAAAAAAACTTATACCAGGGACAGCTAGGTGGTGCAGTGGACAGAGCTCTGGCCTTAGAGTTAGGAGGACCTGAGTTCAAATCCAGCCTCAGACACTTGACACTTACTAGCTGTGTGACCCTGGGCAAGTCACTTAACCCCAACTGCCTCACCAAAAAGCAAAAAACAAAACAAAACAACCAAAAAAATCAGGCAAAGGTTCTTGTATTGCAAGAACCAATAAATTAGCATTTTCAATAGACCAGTATTATTAATCAATAGAAGACCACATCTCCACACTACCATCAATGATGGATACTAACAGTTTTAAGAATAGTGCTTGAATAGAAATGTTCAAGTGTATGAACAGAAATATGATATACTATTTCCATAGCAACAAACCTCCAAATTTCACAAATGTAGGCTAAATTTTAGACCTATTAAGTACAGGCTCAAGGAGCTTATGAGCAAATGTTGCTAAATAGTGGCATTTCAACCCCCGTCTGGTTATCCCAGAACTTCATCTGCCATGTTTAAAATAGTGGAAACACTTTGAGAACTCTTTTTCCTTTCCAAGAGATCCTCAGACACTTGTAAACCTAGACATTTATTATCTGCCTCTATTTCTGGTTCAGCTGGGAGAATTCAACAGCAGTGCAAGAAAGTTTAGTTAGGTTACATACTAATCTTAATATTTTCAGAGGTTCTGAAAAAAAAATCCATAGAATAATGAAGAAAAGCAGCAAGTTAACACACTGAACACTTTCAAATATTTACATTTAAAGTAAATTTAACCCAAATGTTTATGGCCCAAAGGCATCTAGGTGGCACAGTGGATAGAGCCCTGGGCCTGAAGTCAGAAAGACCAGAACTCAATTCCAGCCTCAGATTTCTTCTACCTGTGTGACCCTGGGCAAGTCACTTAACCCTGTTTGTCTCAGATTCCTCATCTGCAAAATGAGCCAGAAAAGGAAATGGCAAACCACTCCAGGATCTTCACCAAGAAAACCCCAAATGGGGTCACTAAGAGTCAAACAAAACTGAAATGACTGAACAACAAACAACAATTGTAGCTTTAACAAAGACAGTATTTTTTCTCAAACTCATATTCATGGAAAAAAATCTTTCAAATAAGTTCTATAGAAGTTCTTGAATCTGAATGAGAAAGGTAACTTCAAGTCCGAGGATAAGTGATTCGTGCTCACTATCTTTTGTTCTTCTGTAAGTCTTGTAAAATCTTTTCACTGGCTGACTGAACTAGCCAAATATCCTCTACTATTTCTAAGACTAAATATTAACAGAATAAATGATTAAGAAAGCAAAAACCTCTCCTACACTTTTCCCCTTTTTCTAAGGGACCTGTTAGATGAGCAAAGCATTCTCAACAAAGCAAGGTAATCTGTATAGTTTAATAAGCACAAGGAAAATCTCTCCAATTGTTTCATTGACTTTTTAAAAAACAAAAGCAAAAACAACACTTCACTTTCCAATACCTTCCCTACCTCCAATAGAACACTCTTGTGTAACAAGTATAGTTAAGCAACATGCTGGCCTTGTCTAATAACATGCCTCATTCCACAGCTAATTCTTGAGATCTTTCAGCAGCACTACCATTTCATAACTACATTATAGATATGTACACAAAATCCCACATTTAAGATTACCCCTGTATCTTCAACTTATTAAACTCCATTAAAAATGCTTAGTGCAGGACACTGGTATCTCTTTTAAACTGGCAAGTTACAATATAATGCTATAAATGACAATTTTGAGGAAAAGCACCAATATGGCATTAGGTAGTGAGCCCACATTATAATTCCAGGACCTCTTCATAATGATAGTTCTTGATTACGTACTACCTTTTCCCACAATAACTCTGTGAAGTAGGTTGTTCAAATACTATTATACCCATTTAAAAGATGAGGAAACTGAGGCTCTGAGCAGTAACTGTTCAAGTTCACAGAGAGATCAAATGGCAGAGCTGTGATACAAAACTTTTCACTCCATTTGGAGGCATCTAACTAGTGCTAGGTCTTTTGGGGTAAGACTGATGTGGTAACAGGGGTGAGAACTTTAAGGAAATTAAGGATTTCAATGAGAAAATTAAGGAAAGGCAATAGTAATATTAGAACTGTAATCTTAACTTATATAGTTAGGTCTTTCTACCCTTCCTTTCTTTTTACTCATTACAGATGTCAAGAATAGAAGGAATATCAGAGATCAAATCAGATAACAACAAATTTCCATGAAACATATGGAAAAAATTTCTAATCCTCTTATCATCAATTAATTTAAATATCAAAATCCTAACAGTCTCTTACAGTAGGTGTCAGTTCAAACAGAAGTAGGGGCAACTCAACTGTACATAAGGATCCCTGATTTAGAAAAAAAAACTATTAATATCACCTATGTTTTATTGGATCATTTATTTACTTTGTTAAGTATTTCCCAACTACATTTTTATCTGATCATACCACACTCAGGAGTGTTGTAGGTTACATGTTTGACACCTTTGCCTTAGAGCACATTGCTAAGCAGACATGATAACACATCATAATCTATTCTAATGCTACACTATTAAGATTGGGATGAACATCAACCAGTTCCAGATATGAATTTCCCTTTGAAACTACATTCTCCTCTGCAGCAATTTCATTCACTTTCTATTTCTCCATGCAACCAACACTCACCTCCTACTGATTCAAGGGAAAAATAATAACAATCCTTTGACTCACATTTCCTATCTGCTCCCCAGGCATTTGGTATCAACCCCCCAGATACTAATTTGTCCCTCTCGCCTGCTTTAAGGCCCCTTCTTGCACACTACTCATGAGCCCTTCCTTCCACATGCACACTCACCTGTTTCTCTAACTTTTCACCATCACCAAAGGGTCCCAGCTACCTCTATCATATTCAATCACACATATTCTGCTTCAGTTCTCAAGTCATCTGGGTTTCCCCACATACTTTAACAACTACTGCCCTATTTCTTTCTTCTAATTATAGTTAAAATCAAACATGCTATTGATACCTTTCTAAGCTGCTCTAAATCTATACTATGACCTGTTACTTCTTACCAAATTTTATACTTGACCTCTTAATCAAGATTGGCTTTATTTAGTTATTCCTGACGTAGTCATTCTTGACTTCATTTCTGTTCTCACTTCACTTCTATAAAGTTAACCAATGAAATACTTTTTGCCAGATCTAAGAGTTTTTTTCCTTCCTATCCCTATTATTTTTTAAGTTTCCAGATCATTCTACCCTAGAAACTCCCTTTTCCTAGATACTTCCTTTTATGAGTATCAGATCCTGATACTCTCTTTGGAGTCTTTTCATTGGTTCCTTTTTTGAAGTCTTTTCATTGGCTCCTTTATTCCTCATCCTTTCAAAACCAATGTCCTCAAATTCTCTATCCTAGGCTCACTATTCTCTCTTAAATCCACTCAGTGAATTCATCCACCATGACTATAGAGGTTGATAATTCCTAAATTAAAAGTCTCTACAGATGTTTGTCTTATTCTCTCTCAAAAGATCTCATGTAACCAGGTATCCTGCTGCCAACTTGAAGAGAAAATCAATTACTTACATACTCCCTTCCCCCCAACTTGTTTATCTATATATTTCAATAGGTACTAGTTCTACTATAAATGTTAATTGTCTGCATTTCCTTCATTAAAAGTAGAAAAGTCAAGTTTAAAATGATAAAACAGCGTATCTGAGTAGAAATCTCCAGAAAGTTCGCTGGTGATAAGAGAAAAAACAATTTGAATCTATAGAAAGCAAAGATAACTCAAATGAAATATGAATTGGTTTTGCCTAGCCATTTCATGACATATAATTGGCACCACATATTCCACAAAGGCAAGGAGTGGGAAGCAGAAAGTTGATGACATAAAGGACTTTCTACCAGCTTGTCATACAATGATAGGACACTGGATTTAGATGGTAGAAGCAACTGACCTTTAATCTAAAAATATTAACAAACAAAAAAGGTGGTGAAAAGAGGCAATGTCTTAGAGAAGTAAAACAAGAAGTCATAATATAAAACAATGCTGCTGGAGCATAACTTATAACTATTCATATGAAAATACTTACCGGATCAACTTGCCATATAATAACAGTTGTATCCTTTGATCCTGTTGCTAGTTTAGTGCCATCGTTAGAGAACTTACAGAACCACACTTCATTACAGTGTTCTGTAAGTATCTGTTGTGTATAACATGGGAACTGTTTCCTAAAAATAAAACCAAAAAACCCAAAAAATAAACTGAGAATTCTTAAAAATACACGATCAGAAAAAAACTATAATAAAGTTTCTTGTAATAATTTTACATGTTTTTAAAGTTATGTAGATGTCTTTCCTTTTAGCTAAGGAAGAAAGCTCTTAATTGCATGCTGAGTAAATTTAAAACAATATATTATAAACATATATTTGGGAAAAAATTAATAGCCTAAATTTTACTTATTTTCTTTTAAAAAAGATTTCAAAGTTTTACAAAAATTTTTATGTATCTACTCAGAATCTGTTTTGGTTTGGTTAAGATCAATTCATACTAGCAGTTAGTTATTAGGGCCTTTATGTCAATTGGAAATAAAGACTGAGTGGCATAGTAACTTTTTGAGGTGGTACTGAACAGCAATGAGCTGGTTAAATACAAATATGAAACTATCTGGGACTAAAAACAAAACATATCCATCCAATCCAACCCCCTAGCCCTTACCCTTCTAAGCATCCAAATTTTTTAGCACAGTCAAAGAGAAAAGTAGTAATTAACTTCAACTAACATTGCAAACTTAATATCTACCCTGTTAAATATTCCCAGTACTATGTGAACCTTGTTGAAGTGATTACAAAACATCAGCTAATCCTAAATACATAAAGGAAGAATCTCAAAGAAAAGTCATTCTTTCTCTGGTTAAGTTTTGACTACCAAGGAATCTAGAAAATTAGCCTGGGTAAATGTTCTTTAATTTAGGAAGGCTCCTTTGTATAGCCAAATTCTCAGCTGTTGCACCATGTACTTTTCATATTTTTGTGATTACTTCTACATTAGTAATCTCTGCCATGATTTAGATGATTTGTAAATCTGCCTCAATTTAAAAAAGTGTTTAAAAAATTTGTCAGGAAATAATTTTTATAATTATTTTTACCAGTCCATAAATTATATAAAATAAATAGAATCAACATTTCTATTTTTACTATTTGCATAAACTGTAACTCACTCTAGAAAAGGAGATATTTGAAGATTTAAACGTTTGCACAACTAAGTGAATTTTTAAAAATAAAAGTTCTCTATATTAACCAGTACAATTTATAAGTACAAAAATGTTGACTACTGTCATACCTACTTCAATGTTACTCCTCAAACCACACTGAAAATTTTTATCTAGAGAAGTTACTTGAAATTTCAGAATTGAAATTTTCTTTCCTAATTTTAGAGCCACAATAGTCACAACACTGACATCTAGTAATGCACAATATACATGTTCCTAAGGCATATAATGACTGATTCACAATAATAAAGAGTCAATAATTAATACAAGGATGTATTTAAAAGGAGAGTGGCAGAATACCTTTATTATAGGACTGATTCATAAAATTACAGGGCACAAACCAGTTGGTCATGTAGTCATCCATTTATATTAGAATCCCTGTCACTGAAGTGTTGAAGTGTTGTTCAAGAGTCATTATCTTAAATATTACTTAAACTATTTCTCTAATCAAGAAGAGATTATGAAATATCACCTGAATACCCACTAAAACAAGCTTATACATTTATCTTTAAATGTATCAGTACCACCAATATGAAATAATTCACTTGATAAATTTTAAGCAATACATTTCTATAATGTGATACTTTACAAAGTATAAATCATAAATTTAATATTCATAAAACTATATACAGGAAAATTTATTTCCATTGGATGGTGGTTAAAAAAAACCTGCCAACTTAAAGAAACACCGTCAAGGCTAACTGGTCAAAAATTTAACCTATTTATGCTTCCAACTCAAAAACATCTTCAATGTTTCTATGAGTAGGAAAAAGCACATCCAATGTCATTAGTTCATATGCAATCCTATCTACAGAAAGGGAGCTCACTAAATCATAAGCTCTTTGAGGAAGAGACCATATCTTATCTTGGTATCTGCCATGTTACCTAGAGCACAGTGCCTTGCACAAAGGTGCTCAGCAAATGTTTCCTGAATTAAACTGAAAACAGATTCCAATTTTAAGATCTAATTTTTGAAATTGAGTTAAATTGGATTAAAAAATTTTTAATACCTCAACGGTGTCCTTTTAAGTCCTCTATTAGATGGGTCAGGAAATGTGAAGACAGCCTCCCTTTCCCCCTGACCATCCTCCTAAGGACTGGAAGTGATTTAGTCTGATGGGCTCAATCCAAGGCCTTTACTGACCAGTATGACATAATCATACTTAATTCTGTGTAGTAGTACTCTGATATAGCTGACAGTCCAATAAGTATTAGGGCAAAATTCAAAAGAAAAATACAAGTTGTTATGATCATAGAAATAACCCTGACATTATAGGCATGACATTCTCTTAAAAAACAATAGAATCAAGATTACTTCAATGTATCAAATTTAAAAGGCATAAAATTTCAGAATTACAGCTTTCAACTCAACAATATTAAGATAGAGTGGGTTGATCTGAAAAGAATATAAACCTTGAGTTTGAAATGTTTTGACTCTTGGGGTAGGTGGGTGGCACAGCAGGTAAAATGGTAAGAATTACCAACTTGAGAAGCCCAATCCTCCCCTTTTACCTCTACAGGTTTTAATAATGAATTTTCATAGCTTCATAGAAAAGACTCTCCTCTTCTGTTAGCCATTTCTGTGAGGCAGGAACCATATTACACTTTTCCTATGTAAACCTTCAAAGGGCTTCCCTATAGGCTTATGAAATTCTAGCTTTTCATAGGTACCTAGAAAAGCAGCTAAAAAATTCAGGAAAATATAGGTCAATTTTATGCAGATTTACCTTATAAAACAGGGATAGATACAGAATTGTCTGCTCATACTTATCTTAAGTATACTATCAACATTATACCACACTTTTTGATTTACCTAATCTCCAAAAAACTATCATCTCATATGTTCCAACAATAAATTTAGGAACCAGTAGTCAAGTTAAGATTTTTGGCATTCTAACTGCTCTAGCTGTAGTCTGTATTATTCTCAAAGTTCCCAAAGGCGTCAAGGACTAAAACTATACAGGTTTTATCCAATACCCTATGTGAAATAATCATGAATCTTCACAATTTAAAAAACTCAAAGAAGAGTATGTATTGCCAAATAAATAGCATGATTAAAAACTGCCCCCAAATTATGCTCAAACAATTACATTGGGATTGGGGGTGGGGTGGGGGGAAGTTGAAAAACTCTTAGTCACATTTCTCTAGAATGCTCAATGACTTTTTCCTGTGAAATAATAAAATGCTTAGATTAAAAAAAAATCTAAAGCTAAGTACCCATGTAGAGATGTTTATTACAAAATAAGTAAAAATTGTGTTTTTTTTAAATCACAATGCTTGCCTGCATCATTTTTTCAGTAGCTTATGTAGGTTCCTCATTTACAAAAAGTCTATGGCCCTCACACTTAACCTTATTACTTCTGTCCTTCCTGTTTAAGCTACTTTCATCATATCTTTGATCATCTTTGGCAAAAGAAATGGACTATGTGTACTGCAGCTGTTCCCCTTCGTCCACTAGACCCAAATTATTTCCTTCCTGGGGTTTAAAAGATTTCACAATTTGTTTTTCAGTATCTCAACTACTCTAATGACACTTTAACTTTAGAGGTCATGAAATATGCTCCTGCTTCACTAATAATTAAAAGAATCCCAGACTGAAGGACAATTTTACATTCTTCTAAGTTAAATTATTTGCACACATAGCTGATAGCAAAATATTCCTCAAAATAATACAGGAAGCAACATAATGCTAATTGCTACGCTGAGATTGTGACTTTATAGTTAACTGTGGACAGTAATCAAACTAATAGTCAAACCTGGGGGGTGGGGGTGAGGGACACAGAGAACATTTTAAAATAGTCATTCTAATTTTTTTGTATGTTAGAATAAACAGTAATTCAGTTAAGAATTTCTAGCTTCAAGGAACTCCAGTTCACATGTTTCTAACAGTATTAAAAAGGAAAATGGGATTACTTATAAAAAAGATTTTAAATCAAATCTTGGAGTAGTAGAAATGGTTTTCCTCTTACCTACTACAAACATGATCTATAAGCAGCGACACAGAATCTAGATTATTATCAAGTTTGGTATTGTGATATAGGCACCGATCCCTCTGTAGCTCCACAGCTTGACGTAGCAAAGTCTGTAAACGCCTTGGGGGAAGCATCACTGATGGTGGCAAATAAGCTTAATAAAACAAACAAGAGTTTATTTTCAGTCAGTCAGTCAACAAGCATTTCTTAAGAGCTAAGGGCTGGGAAGACAATTGAAAACAACTCCTTTTTTCAAGGCGTTTATGTTCTAACAGGGGAGACAATGTAAATAATATGGCCTCTATAATACAAAATAAAGCAATATAAGGGGGGAGCCATTAGCAACTACGGGAGGGATCAGGAAATATCTTTTTCTGTTTTTTTTTTTTTTTTTTAAAGAGACTTGCTCAATATCTTCTGACTTTTCATCCTCAGTTAATCATTATCAAAATTATGGTATTTATGTCAAGCCACCCAGAACTTTTGAGTATAAACATTTTGTTTTCATGACTACCTATCAAATTTTGTCTACAATTGTAAGGACACTAGAATTCATTTGGAAAGAAAGTTCACATTTCTTTAGGTTTTCTTAAAAAAAAAATTAGCTAATAAATAAATAGTAAATAAGGGATAATGGCTATTCTCAAAAGTTTGGGAAGCATCTCCACTGAGATACCCAGCAAGGACTGACTCAAAAGGATGAAATTCCAGGTCCCAACAAACTACAACTATCCCAGATATTGTGTATAAAACCTATCCTAATATAAAATACCACTGCTCCCACAACCTCTGACACTGCTGCTAATTCTACTCCTACCCTTAAACGTCCTACACCTTCCCAACTCTGCTGGTCTCATGGACTTCAAGAAACATTCTTGGTACCTAGACCTCCCAACTTCACAAAAAAAGGCTGTGGGAACCCTTGATTTGCCTGGAAATGGCAAGAAAAAAGCTTTTTACAAAAAAGTTAAATTTGTAAGAATGAAGCATCCTATTGGGCCCATTTATTCCTAGTAATGATTTTACATTTTTTGAAATACCGCCCCCCCCCCCCCCAAATAAGCATTTGCCTAAAGGTGGGGAGGGAGATGTAACTTTGCTATTTTATCCCTGTACTTTAGGAATAAGCATGTTAAACTGATGTGGCCTAAGGAGTCTACCTATTAAACAAGCCCTCCCTCATCCCCTCAGTGGTAAGCCATTTTAAGTTTTACCAATCAAAAACCTTACTAAAGAGTCCAAGTCAATTTTAGTTTTAGGAAATAGATGTTGCTATCAGATACTAAAAAAAAAAATCTTACTCTGGAGTTTATCCAAAAGTTTAGATCGAGAAGCTGTTCCTTTGCCTTCCCATTCTGCTTTTGCACGTAAGTCTTCTGCATGGCTACACATCAGATACCTATAAATGAGACAGTAGAAGTAGCTAACACCAATTTCTTTTTGGGATTAAAAATAATAAAAATATAGCACCTATGCAACCAACTTTATCTCAGAAACAGAAAGAGGAGAAAATGACTAGCTACGTCACAATCCATTAATATATGACCTTGGTATCTTGGCATATAATTTTGAACCATTAAAACACACGTGCTGAAAACACAAAACCAGAAAATCTCTCCAAGAGGGTATTACAAAGTATTCAACCTTTAAGCAAAGGCTTGATTGACTAGGTAATGTGGTACAGTGAATAAGACATTAGCTTAGACTTAGGTAACCAAGATTCAGCAAGTCACAACCTCTCAGAGCATCATGTTTTCTAATCCGTAAAATGGGGATAAAAACTTGTACCACACCAAATTCACAGGTTTGCTGTCCATCTTAATATGAGCTTTGTGTGAACCCTTCACACAACTAAAGGGTTGCAGGGGCTCAACTCAAGGCTTCCAGGAACAAAGCTCAGGGACTGCTTCATTACTCACTAGATAAACTGATGGACACATAGTAAAGTTCTAGGGAAACAAATCAAGGCCTTTTGATTTTAACTGTGCCCCTGACCTGGTTCTTGGTGTTCTATACTGTAGAAATGACTTTCAAGTGATGGAAGTTAAATAGAAAAAAAAGGAGATCTAGACAACATTAGGTCATATGAAGCATTCTGCTACTATGGGGACTCTGTTTACAATTTATTAAGTGCCTACTACATGTCAGGCACTGTGCTAGACTGGGGATGGGGGTACAAGCACAGAGAGAAATAATCCCAACACATAATGAGGTCATATTTTAATGGGGGAAATAACAAGTAGATATAAAACGTACATAAAAATGAAATAAATACAAATATATGAGTAGTTAAATTCTTCAAGGTAGTTTAGGAGAGATGACACCACCAGCTGGGGAGATCATGAAAGGCTTCAGGTAGGATATGGTGCATCTTAAAGGAAAACAAGTATCCTACGAGGTAGAGGTAAGGAAAGTGGATTCTAGGCTTGGAGGACAGCTAGGTCAAAGGCATGGAGACAGGATAGAGTATTGTGATTGAAGAACAGAGGGAGGGTCACTTTGGCTCAATTACAGAAGGCAAGAAGGAGAATAATGTTCAATGAGGCTGGAAAGAAGGGTTGGGGTCAGAGTTTGAGGAGCTTTCAGAACTAAACAAAAGTTTTATGTTTCATTCTAGATGCAACAGGAAACCAATGGAGTTGGTCAAATCTATGTTAAAGAAAAACTATTTTGGTAATATGTTGGATGTAGTGGTGAAAGACTTGAGGCAAAGAGACCAATGGGAAGGCCAATAAAATCATCTAGGCAGGAGATGATGAGGCGCTCTATGGTGGTAGCTGTGTGAAGAGGTTGGATATAAGTGATGTTGTGAAGGCAGAAACAGTAATATCTGACAACTAATTGGATATGTGGGATGAAAGACTGAAGGGTTAAAGATATTGGAAGAATGACAGTGTCTTTGATAAAAATAGGAAAGCTTGGAAAAGGCAGAATTTAGGGGGATAGACTGTGAGCTCAATTTTAGACATGTTGAATTTAAGACATCATCAGGAAATTCAGTTTGAATTGTCTAATAGGCAATACTGGTGATCCAAACTCAAGAGAGGGAATGTGCTGCACTAGATATGTAAATATAGATGCCATCTACATAAAGATGACAGTTAATCTCCATGGGAGTTGATGAGATTACTAATAGTATACACACACACACACACACACAAAAATAAAGACCAACAGCAAGTGTCAGTGGGGATGGGGGGTGAAGAGGGTGTGTAGTGTGTAACATAGATGAAGAACCAGTAAAAGAAACAGAGAAGCTAGAGAGGTAGAAGACCTGGAGATAGTAGTGTCACAAGAGAGACTATGCAGAAGACAGTGGTCAAGTGTCAAATGCAGTAGACAGCTCAGGAAGAACAAGGAATGAGGAAAAAGACCATCATATTTGGCAATTATGAGATCACTGATAACTTCGAAGAGGAGATTTTCAGTTTAGTAATGAGGATAAAAGCTAGAAAAGAGGAAAGTCAATAGAGGTAGTGAGAGAAGACAACTTTTTCAAGAGTTAGGCTGAGAAAAGGAGACATAAAGGATAATAGGATCAAGTGAAGGTTTGTTTTTTTTTTTTTTGTAAAAGGATGGGGGAGACTTGGACTTGTTTGAAGGCAGATCAAGAACAATAAGCAAGTACCATGATAATAAATGGGTAAGAATTAAAGGGAAGATTTGAAGTCTAAAACTAAACTTAAAAATCCTTTGATTTCCAGAAATGCTTATTAAATGAGAATTCACCTACAACAACATCTTCCAGATCTAAATTACTACAGTTAGAAGTGATAAATATAAACAAATTACTGGGTAACAACAGTGTGAGGTCTAACCTATAACAATACAACTAAGTTGTCCTGCTTAGATAAAATCATTTAGTCCAATAAGAATTTATTAAGCACTTGCTTTAATCAAGGCATTGCTTGATGCAAGGAATACTCAAAGTGAAAAAGTCTCTGCTCTCAAGGAATGGCATTCTACTAATCTAATAATGGAAATAAATAGTATGAATGCAATGGAATATTATCATTCCACAAGAAATGATGACATGAAAATGGTTCCAGAGAATCCTAGGAAGAAACATGAACAGATGTAGAATGAAGTAAGAAGAACTACAACAATTGATAAAATAACAATATAAAGAGAAACTGAAAGATTTAAGATCTAAAATCAATGTAATAACAAACTACTATTTCAGAGCATCAATGATAAAGATTGTCACCCACCTGCTGACAAAGAGGTGAGAAAGCAAGATATCAAATGAGATGTGCATTTTTGGACAGAGCCAATGTGGCAATCTGTTTTGCTTAACCACATACACACACACACACACACACACACACACACACACACACACACACACTCCATATGTGTGTGTGTGTGCGCGCGTGTGTGTGTGTGTTACAAGGAGCTTTTCTTTTCTTTTTCAAACATGAGGGAAGGTAGAGGTAAATCCTCCTCTCCCTTCAGAAAGTAAGCCAGAAATCACAGACAAAAAGGATAGATTTGAAAGTTATATGTTGAATTTATTATATGTTTTTAAAAAGCAAGTTCTACACAATAGAGGTTCCAAGTTTCATATACAACACTCTACTGTTCTACAATGTATATGGAAATGCTTATTTTATTTGATTTTTGCCAAGTTCAGAATAAAAAAAAAATTTTTTTTAATTAAAAAAATACCAGCCGCTTTTCTTGTAAGTTACAATTAAGTTTGTGTTTGTAAAGTACTTCAATTTTTAAAAAGGCTTATCTTTCACTTAGAGTTTGAATATTTAGGCATTCCTCATTAGTAAGATATAGGTTAAGATACCTTCAGTGCTTATGATCAGTGAATAACACATTTTCCAAGTAGTATCTCAAATAGATAGACTCAAACTACTAGAAAAAAAGGAACTAAATAACTGGGTTTATTTTCAAAAAACAGAAGGAAGCAAATTACAAAATGTGGTTTTATGGCTGCTATTTGATTTTAAATGATTTACTTATTAATACTTTTTGAGAAAACGGTTCACAATTTTCTTATTTCAAAAGTTCTTTCTAAGTCTGTTATATTTGGTAAATAAACATTCAGTTTTCCGTATTCACTGGGGCAGCTAGGTGGCACAGTGTGATAAGAGTGCTGGCCCTAAAGTCAGGAGGATCCGAGTTCAAATTTGGCCTTAGACACTTACTAGCTGTGTGACCCTGGACAAGTTACTTAATCCTGTTTGCCTCAGTCCTTCATCTGTAAAATGAGATGGAGAAGGAAATGACTAACCACTCCAGTACCCTTCCCAAGAAAATCCCAAATGGGGTCATGAAGAGTCAAGACATGACTGAAAAATGACTGAATTTGAACATCGCAGTATTTAAGTCAATGTCTATTTATGGGGAAATACTACATGAAAGATGGTCAGGAAAACTAACTAACTAAATAAATTAAAACTCTAGGGGCAGCTAGGTGGCACAGTGGACAAAGCTCCGGCCTTGGAGTTAGGAAGACCTGGGTTCAAATGCAGCCTCAGACACTTGACACTTACTAGCTGTGTGACCCTGGGCAAGTCACTTAACCCTGATTGCCTCACCAAAAAAAAAATAAAATAAAATAAAATGAAAGATGGCCAGAGTCAGTAAAGCTGGGTTCTAATTTAAGACTTGCTACCTATAAATAACCTTTGCCAAGTTATTTAATCTCATTAAGCTTTAGTTTTCTCAAAATGCTAAAAAATTAAATTAGACGATCTATAAAGTTCCTTTAGTTCTAAACAATTGTAAGCACAATTAAATTAGAAAACTTGCAATACAGAATTTTTTTAAAATTCACGAATGCTGAGTTGTAAATATGACATCTTGTAGAGGTCTTCTGACTTAAGGGAACTAACCATAGCATTAACAAGTCCAGTAGAATTTGCTTTGCTCTAAGATGAGAAACTTTGTATTTCTATGAACTTTGGCAAGTTTGTGGTTGTGTACTCTAATGATAAAAAACGAGAATTGGTCAAATTATGCCATATCACAGGATTTACAAAAGAATATGAAATGATTTTCTGTAGGCAATCTTCTCTCACCCATTTAACAAAACTTTATCCTAACATGAAATGCTTCCTCAGATGAAGGCAATGGTCTACACAAAGGCAAAGACAAGAAACAACTTCCTATCACAGGGAGAAAATTCCATAAAATTATCTTAGAATTTCCAAATACTCCAAGCACTCAGAGAAAGTATATAACTATAATCTTGTATCGTAAGACTCCCCCAAAACAGAGCTCATGAACTAGACATTCTTACCCACTGAGGACATGAATTCGTTCTGTATTGTATTTCAAGGGCGTCAATTCGCAGCGTAGAACTTGAAGAGCCTCCAGGACCTTGCCATCCTCCAGGTATTCCAGGTACTTCTGCTGCAGCAGCAAAAACTTCATCCTCTGACATGACAGAAAGCAGCAGTCAGGGAAAAGGGTTGATGGAAGTTTCAGACAATGTTTGTGCCTAAACAGAACAGTAGAAACCATTCTACTATGCCCTTTGAAAATAAAACTTTACATAAAAGTTTCATGATTTTTAAAAAAAGGTCTTGGTTCATTAAAATCTCCCAGTTACTTCTATCCTTTGTTGAAGCAGCTTACCTACTTATGAAACCTAGAAAACAGATGCCTTTCCAGGTCAAGGCTAATGGATATTTTATTCAATCCCACACTTCAATAAAAGAACTTTTAAATGTTACTTCCAAGACTCAAAAAGATTTCAGCTACACATAACATAAAACTACCTAAAAATTACAACTATACTAGATTGCCTCAGGAGTCTTAAAGGAGGACCTGGATGACTTGTGGATGTTGTAGAGGCAATAATTTGGAATATATGACCTTAGAACTTCCATTAAAATTAAGACTGATTTTTAAGCTCAGTAACCACCTTCCTTCCCCCAAATCAAACGAATATCTTATTTCAGGCTGTTTACTTCTAAGGAAAAAAACAATTTAACTTTTTATGTTTAGGAGTTTCTCTAATTACATTAATGTTCGGAAATGGGTTTTTTTATATTAGATAAGACTAAAGAAAAACATGGTAACCATCTCCAATCATTTGAAGGGCTGTAAGAAAGAGGGTGTAGGGCCAGTGAGGTGGCACTGTGGATAGAGCACTGGCCCTGAAGTCAGGAGGACCTGAATTCAAATCCGGCCTCAGACCAGACACTTGACACTTACTGGCTGTGCGACCCTGGGCAAGTCACTTAACCCCAATTGCCTTAAAAAAAAAAAAAAAAAAAAAAAAAGAGGGTATACATTTGTGGTTCGAGGAGAGAACTAGGACTAACAGAAAAAAGTGAGACTTTTGGCTTAACCTAAGAAACCATTTCCTAGGAATTACAGCCCTAGAACAGTAGCTGAAGTGAGAGCTTCTTGTTAGTGAAAGTGTTTAAATAGTGGATGTATGACCTTCTTTCAGCTGTTGTAGAAAGGGTTTCTGAACTGAGCAGAAAAGATAAACCTTGAGGTCCCTTACAACTTTGTAATGAAGACTGGAATCTTGACTGCTGTTCCCTCTAACACTGAAAATATTCTGGAGGAAAGCAAAAAAACAAAAACAAAAACAAACAGAAAAAAACCCAACAAAAAACCCCTACAAAAACTCAAGGTGTTTTTTTTTTTAAAGAAGGATAAACTATTTGTACTATGAAGTCATATTTTCACAAATTTGCATTTAGGTTTTGAATTTTTTCTCAATATTGTTTACTTTATCATAAGTTTCACTTTTAGCTTATTAGCTACTAATAACCCCCCCCCCAAATCTTTTTGGCAAAATTGAGAAGGCATGAAAACACTTCTACTAACATAAAATTTAGTATTTTAAACCCTAAATTCAACTTTAAGAACTATCAATTGAATGAAACCTTTAATTATGTAATGCTACTTTTTGAAAGTAGGCAGAAAATGTTACTGACATTTAGTGACTCCAATGAACTAAAATCCACTTAAAAATATTAACATAAAAATCTTAAAGGACATGATAGCTATTTTTTTTAAGGCAATTGGGGTTAAGTGACTTGCCCAGGGACACACAGCTAGTAAGTGTCAAGTGTTTGGTCTGAGGCTAAATTTGAACTCAGGTCCTCTTGACTTCAGTGCTGGTGCTCTACCCACTGCGCCACTTAGTTGCCCCATGATAGCTATTTTCTCTTTTGGTAAATGCTTATTACTAAAAATACAAAACTACACTGCTATCAAAATAGTGTGATAAATATACATAGTTTAATTATGGTAAGTCTTTGAAAAAAAATCAGAAAATGACAACCACATGAAAATTTTTGTAACTCTAGAACTATTACACTTACCAAATTCTATTCGGTATGTAAACAAAAGCTAGGCCGGCTTATTGAATATACTTTAAAGGTATAGATTAAATTACTAAAGTACACTGTTGTACATACAATCTGAAGTTAAGCTTTAAATGTTAAACAACTTTAGTACTGCTGAACTATTAATAAATTGCTTTTCACAGGCAAAAACAGCATATAAAACTGAGGGGTTTAACATAAAAGGGAGTTATTTCTTACAACTATCTTCTGAACAAAGCTTTATTTTTAAAATAGCTATCATTTATAAACACTTTTAATGTTTGCAAAGCACTTATATATATCTTATTTGATTCTCATAACTCAATGGAGAAATTTGTAATTCCATTTATCAACACATTGTTAAAAGTTCAGTTGGTATGACAAACTCCTTTTACTATTTGAAGAATACCTACTGTTGGAGACATACTTGTTTTCAGATTTTTCATTTCAATTTCACGCCTAACTTGCCAACATTGTGTTAAATTCTTCATTCAGCTTTCTTGGCTCATAAGAATTTCTGATAAACAGGCATATTTCATTTTTCTAGCATTCATATTAGGGTTCCTCCCTCACAAATCTTTTAAGTGACAGTTTTAATCTACCCCAAACATTAGACATTTCCCCCCATTTTTCTCCACAGAGATGCTGATATAATTGCAACTCAATTTTCAAGTGACAGAAGTGGAGCAGGAAAAAAGTAAGTAAAACTTCAAGTGAGGCTATGTCAATATTTTTCTATAGATAACGTGGGGAAGATATAAAAGCAGGTCAAGAAGATCTGTCTCTATGAGTCACTTTGTCCACAGTTAGTGCAAAGAGAATCCTGAAACAGATACTAAAGCATCATTTTGGACACAGAAACTCTGGTAATGTGCTATTGGTCAAACACATTAAGACATCTGTTTAGGAACATGCTTTCTTTGTAAAACTTGTTTACTTGAATCAAAAATATAATTTCTAAAAAATGTACAATAAAAGCATTTACATAGAGCTGGGCAGTTGGGAAAGGGAGAATATAAAGGAGAACTAATACTATAATCTCAAGAATTATACCACTGGCACATTTTAAGCACACATTTAAAATGGCTCAAGTGTAAAACTCAAGCCCAGTGATGTAGTATTCCATTTGATAACATAGCAGATATTGAGCAGGCCTTGAAACCAGGACCCCCTGGATCCAAGTCCTATCTCTGACTAGTCACTTAATGTCCCAATGCTCTAGGCAAATGCCTAAGATTCTGAGTTGCAGAGAAGGTTCCTCTGTGCATTAGTAGAGGGAGTTTCCTATACCAATGAAGCCAAAGGTTCAGTCCCTATCCTAAACTCTTCCCCAGGGTGGCTTTTAAAATAATGTTGATTAGTGGATTCTGAATACGTCAAATTGAAGCTCACTAAGTGGGTAAAGGCCTTATCCACGGTATCAATTTTTCCCAGAGCTAAGGTAGTATAGCTGTATTCCTTTTATTTATCTTTCCAATTTCTGATCAGACTGATCAGATCACACTTCTGATGCTATTTGTGGAAGGAAGAATGTGGTATACCACTTCAATCCAGCAAAGTCTACCTTTGTTCTACTGATATCTGATTAATCAAACCAGTAGGAAATCTAGTATTACAAAACAGCTCTTCAAGCTGTTTAATACATATTTTTAAAAGAAAAATTTTAAATGTAACACTTTAAATTTTGTAGAAAAAATTATTTGCATTACTTTTGTGCCCTCAATATTATTTAGATAATTTCCTCAACATATTACAGTATATTTCTATTATAACTTACTAAAAAATTCAAATAGTATACAATCCCTAACAAGTAAAACAACCACCAATATAAGGAAATGACAGGTAGTCATCTCAGTGGTAATACCTTAATGAAATGGTAATACCTTAATGGAATGGAAAGGGATGTAAAGAAAAATAAAAACTCTAAAAGTTGATTGTGGCAGTAACAACTCACAAAGCAGATTTCAAAAGCAGAACTTAAGTACTCAGTGAAAAATTTATTAATGCCTACAGTTATACTAAAAAAGCTTAATTCTCTGTTATACTAATGTAGTTCTAATGCTGTAGCTACATCTGACACACAACACTGGAGATGGTAAAATGGATTTAATCAGTCTGATTAGTTTCTTGTGGGCATGTTTTATTAAAGATGAGATATAGGACTGAGGTATTTGGCATTGGGGGAGGTAGTACAAGATACCAAGTAACAGGCAAAGCTAGGATAAATAAGCAGATGCTTTCTTTCCACCTCACACCAAACACAAGTTAACTACAACGCCTCATGTTCTGAAGCAGTCTCTTCTATATAACTTAACAGTGAAGCTGAACTGCTGCAGAATTTTTATATAGAATTCAAGACAAATGTTAAGTATCTATGTGTAAAAGCATGGTCCCTAAGGCAGTATTTAATGTTTAAATTTAAGAGCTGAACTTTTTAATTTGATAAAAGTCCTCTTAGTTAACTACCTTCAAATCTGCTCACACAAAACTCTCAAACAAGCCTAGACATATCTGAAGCCAAACTATAATGCTATTCAATCAGGTCTGAGAGAATAAAAACCAAATGTTGTGACTAAAATTGTTTTAATTGGATATATAAGGTTGTCAGGAATAATATATTTTAAAAAAATCTACATTTAAAGCTTATAATCACTTTTTGCTTAAGTTAGGCCAAAAATCACAAAACTGCTCTCACAATCCACAATTTCCATTTTAAAAGACTTGAAATATCAAGCTGAATTCCAAGGTATCATTATAAATATGATGGAAATCATATTAACATTTTTATCTTTCCATTGTGGGATTAAGTAACTGATTATATATATATTCTAGACTAACAATCCATAATTCTACTTACTGAATGTTAAAGAATCAAGTCCTCTTTTTCTGTCAACAAGTTGCCTTAATAGGCTTATCTTTGATTTAACAATTCAATTTGCAAATTGTTATTATTAAATACATTTACTTAGTGACTTTGCAGTCCTAAATACCAAATTTTGGAAGCAATCATAATTTGTTTTAAGATTTTAAGATATGAAACCTTACATTTTCTTCAATGCTAGTCTCTTCATATTTGAAAAATTTACAAATAGGAAATATTTTTTATAAATATCTTTAAACCACTAATCTCAGAACCATTTTCTAATATAGCTTCTCTCATATTACATGATTACATTTACTTAAATTCAAAACCCAACAAATCTAGCAGGTTAATAGGCCAAAGAAGTTATAAAATTGACCCAATTTAAATAAAAATAATATAATCTTCACTTACTAATGTTTAACAAACAGCTGTTTTCCCTACTTCCTGTTCTTTTTCCATCCCCTCCCCCACTGGACAGGAAACTGCTTTTTGACAACAAATGAATCAGCCAGAAGTCTAAAGCAAGCAGCCACCAGCTGATTCTTCTTTGAAGTTTACAATCACAGGCACTTCAAAAAACTATTTTTCCCCTTCCTCAAACACCTACTTAAGAATTAATGCCTGATTATTATAATAGATATTAAAATATATGATAATTTCTGAAAATGGTCCAACTCCCAATTTGATCTTATGTCAGAAAGGACCAGTGAACACAGCATTAATATTCATATCTGCACAAAAATCACCAGACAACTCTCATACAAATTTCAAACTTTTACACTGTAAATTCACACAACTAGATTACTTGAATGGAACTGGGTGATCATAACCCAATGATTGGTTTGAATTAACACACATGACTTTTCTTTAAAATAAAAAGCTTAAAAAAAAAGGACAAAACTTCTTTATCCAATCTATCCTATGTCTGCTTTTCTTTCCTCAAAGAAGCCACATACACATGTAATATCCTTCCTTCTTCACTCCCAAAATATATTCAATATTAAGCCTTTAAACATTAAAATAAAAATTTGCATATCTTCCCTGACTTTGAATATCTAAACACATGACAGTGATTTAAAATTTCTTAGCATAAATGCTGAAAATTTGACAACTTTGGCATAATTTTTATATGTAGAGCAAAAAGATTAATTCAAAGATATTTTCGAGATAAGCATTTTTTTAAAAAAGTTCAGATTTTATAGCACAATGAAGACTGACTATCCTATAACTTTAATACACACAATATAGTTCCAGGCAAATCAATCTTTCTAGGCATCTGCAAAATGAGGGGGCTATACTTGATGATCTAATGGACACTTAAGTGCCTGTGTCAGGCACTGTTCTAGGCGCTCTAGATACAAAGACAAAAATTACATAAGTTATGTTATAGAGGTGGCAGATGCCCTAAGTTATTACTGAGACCATTCTGCTTACTAAAATTAGCATAAATGCAGAACTAAGAACAAAAGTGTATTTACCACAATTATTCCCAACAACGTTTGAGAGATTTCAAGTGCGCCTCTTACCACAATAGCATGAGGAGAATGCACTAAAGACTTAAGTTCATTCAGGTCGTTTTCTGCCTGCAAAAATTGATATAAAAGAGAGAAAAACAAAAGTGTTATGATATGCACATCAGATGTATAACTTTAACAGCAGTTATACAGTTCCATATGCCCTACTTTACCTTATCCCAGTCTCCTTCCATGACATGATTTCGGAATTTGGTAGCAGAAGGATGTTCTAAACGACATCCTGACTCTTGCATGAGGAGATCAACTGTCTGGCTGCAGGAGAGATACAGTGTAAAAAGACCTGACCAACTTCAGGGTTTTACTTTTCCAAATACACCAATACCTATGCAACAGTGTGAATTTTTTCCCCAAAAGAACTAATTTTATTTTATTTTATATTTTTTAATTATAAAGTGACAAAAAAAAAATCCTTACAAGCTCAAATTTGCTGAGCTACACACACTGGAGCAATCTCCTACATCCACATTGGGGCAAAAGGTTAAAAAACTTGTACACAGTTTCAAAATAAGTTTATTTCCCTCAGTTTTGCCACTTAAAATATGAATACTTTGAGAAAATAAAAGTTTTAAAATATAACATTTGTTGCAATCAAGTGGCCATCGGGAAAAGTAGGAAACCACCTAGCTATATTGTCACTATTTTAAATAAAATTACTGTACTACACAAATTGCTCTCAGTAATGTCTAGTATTAAAATTCTCCCAAACACATTCAAGCTTTGTGTCTGCATCAACACTTTATGAGGTCAATTTATTAAAAAATTTTTAAAAAGCAAAACAAAATCATCCCCCACCTTTCTAACTAAAAATAGCAAATTTACTATGCTGTAGGCTCCAAACAGTCACGAGTTATTTTCTCCCTCTGCTGTCAGCTTGCCTGATTTCAGTAATACATTACATTTACTAAGCTCATTTAATACGAAATCCATCTTTATCATAGTCTGTGAAATCTTCTCTCATGGCAAACAGTTCCTTTTGGGAGCTAGGGGAAGAGGAGATAAATATGGCTGTTTGGCTTCTTATATGTGGCTTGTTCCTTCAGTCTTGTTTTGTTATTTCAAAAGTCCTAATTTACCAGTTTAACATTTTCTTGTTTTAGTGGATTTTTTCCCACTTCTGTTAATCTTTAAGCAAAATACATCAGACCTCTAAGTATGGCTTGTGTCGATGCACTTATGTCACTTTTTAGAAGTTCTTATTTCTTCCTCAAACAAATCTATAAATCAAAAACTACACAGTGGCAAGCCCAAAGGCTTATTTTAATCTAAGCTTCGCAGCCAGGAAACTTTGACTGCTGGAGGTGGTTTTTTCTTTTTTTTGTGTGTGTGTGTGTGAGTCTCCTTTAGGTCCTGCCCCTTCCACCTCCTCCACCATTCTCAATAGCTTTCAGTCTCTAGAAGATCCCTTCCCCCGCTCCGTGGGCTTTTCCTTTATTGATGTGTAAACAAACTGATAGCAGTTTGTGGACAAGGTTAGACCCCTTCACCCTCTCTCTGGGGTGCATCAAGCCACCTAGACTAGAAAACAAGTGGTCAGATCAGATATCCCTTCCCAAACACGTATCTATCTTACTGATAATAATCAGGATTTGACAGTAGTTTGTGGCCTGTGTCCTTAACACACAAAGCTTCACAAATGACACAAACATGTCTCCTCTGCGCCATTATTCCTGTTTGATTTCCTCAGCAACTCTTCTTTCCAATTGACCACAACCACCAGCTGTACACCCTCCTAACCCACCCCCTCCCGTCCCCTCAATAACCCAAACACTTGTGGGTGTCCAGCTTCTCTGGTTGGTAACCATGCTCTGGTCTCGTCCTCTATGGGAGAAGCTTCTCCCTGGGTTCACAACACAGAAGTCTAAAATATACTCCGAAGGCCAAGTCCTCCAAGATTCATTATTTCCACCAGATCTGGTCCACTCCTCCCCTTCCCCCAGCATTTTTATACATCTGTCTTTACCGACGGATAATTAAGTTCCAATGGGGGTAGTTTGTGGTGGTGGTGGGGGTGGTGGTGGGGGAGGGGGAAAGCTGGGAGGAATTCAAGGCCTGGCTCTGCGAGTCGTAATTTGCTAGTCTTTCAGTCTCTCCGTCTGATTGTCTCCTCCTCCCGGAGTCTGTCTGTCTCACCCGGAGTCTCCCTAGGCAGAACTCCATCCCGGGGCCGTCCGTCAGTCTCACCCCTTCTAGGTCTCTTCTCTCCAGCCTTCCCCTGCGCCCCGCGCCCCCCGCCCCCCGCCCCTGAATCACCAGCTCTCTTCAACAAATACTTACTTGAGCCCTAAGCCATGCAAGTGCTGTCCTATTAACCTAATCACATCCTCATCTGACTGGGAGAGTCTCTTCTTCTTTTTCAGGCTACTGCCCAGCTCCGAGGCGGCCACAGCCGAGGAAGACGCAGCCGTGGTGGCCGAGGTGGCCGCGGCGACAGCGGACGAGGCGGAGGCCGCCCCGCCGGGGACCCCGTTATTGACATTCAGGCTGTTGCTATTGTTGCTGGCGGCGGAGGGGGCAGAGGGCAGGAGCCCATTGGCGTGGGCCAGATCCCCCCCGGACGAAGTCGACGAGGGGGACGACTCCCCGTTCTGGGCCGAGAGGCAGGCGAGCTCCTGGGTCTGTCCCTGGCCCCCACCACCGCCGCCACCTCCTCCGCCGCCGCCGCCGCCTCCTCCTCCTCCTCCTCCTCCTGCCCCGTTGGCCTGCATGATGCTGCCGCTGACCAGGCTGTGGCCGCTACTGCGGTGGGGGGCGGCAGCGGCGGCAGGAGGGGCAGCAGCCGCGGGGAGTCCCACCACTACCACCACGGAGGAGGAGGAGGAGGAGGAGGAAGAGGAGGAGGAGGAGGAGGAGGTGGAGGAGGACGAGGACGACGACGACGACGAGGACGGGGGGGAGAGGCCTGCTCTGCCTGTCGAAGCCCCGGGCTCTCCTGCTCCCTCCGCCGCCGAGGCTCGGGGTTTCTTCCGCGGGGGCGGGGAGGCTCCGCCGGTGTCCGAGTCGGAGGAGGAGGAAGCGGAGGCCAGAGTTTCCTCGCCGAGAGAGGCCGTGGTGGGAAGCCGGTGGGGCGAGGCGGAGGAGGGGAGGAGGGGGACGGGGAGAGGGCCGGGGTGAGGGGGGGAGGGAAGAGGGGACAGGGAAGCGGGGAGGGGGGGTAGGAAGGGGGGGTGAGGAAGAGGAGAAGGATCTGGGCCCTGTCCCCCCCCTCCCGGAGGCAGCTGGGGTGCCGGGCCCGGGGGTCGCTCCCGTAGGGGGGGGGCGCCGCTGGGGCGGCGGCGGCCGCTGCTAGGGAGGGGGGAGCCCGCCGCTGTGCTGAGCCCCGGCGGCGGCAGCAGCGGAGGCAGCTGCCGCCTCTGTCTTCGGGCCCGCTCCGCTCCCTGGTGTGTTGATTCTTCCCCCAGCTGCTGCCTAATGGAGTCCAGGCGCTCGCGTCACAGGAAATGCCTATACTGCCCTCCTCACTCACTTCCGGTGGCAGGTATGGAACCTATAGGGGGGCCTGTCACCCAGCACGTGCGCCAGGGGGCAGGCTCCTGGAGAGTTGGGAGGGAGGGCAGGCCCGAGCAGCCCCCCGGCATTGGCTGGCTGGCAGGGTCCGAGGGCCAAGTTTCTCCCCTTTCTCCCTGTGACTGTGTGTGCAGATGACTAATGGCTCTATGTGTGTGTGTGTGTGTATGTGTATACACACCAGGGTGACCTAGAACATGTAGGATAGGGATGACACTGCAAACATCTCACTGGAGATGAGATGGAGATGGAGAGGCAGGAGAAATTCTGGCTAATGTGTGTTTGTGTGGGGGGGTTGACTTTTCTGTTCTTGGTAGCACAGGTGATGGGGGAGGGGGCAGTGCATAGGCCCTGTCAGGCCAGGTAGTGGTTGCCAACACTAAGACCCCGCTTTGTCATTGAAAGTCTTGAGTTTACACCATGCAAAGTGCTTTATTTTGCTGTATGCATGGCCTTTCCTTCGATGGTCCAAGGCTGTCTTTGGGCAGAGGAGGGCCTAGAACAATACCTACTAGTGGTGGTGATGGAACCAAGCATAGGTAGGCCATTCCTAGAGATGGGCAGCTCCAAAGCACATCATATTTTGATCCTTACCTCAAACATGGAAAATCAGGTTTAAAGGAACCTCAAGGGCAGCCTTAAACTGTAACATATGTTATTTGGTGTTTAGTGACTGTGTGTGTACCTATTTTTCTAGGATAGTATCAGCTTCAAGAAAACTATGTGAAGAGGCAGTGAAAGCGTGTTGACCTTGTAATCAAAAGACCTTGGTCCAAAGCCAGTCTTTGACACTAGTTCTGTGATCCTGGGCAAGACACTTTTCGTCTCAGTTTTTTCATCTATAAAAAAGGAGATAATAATATTTATACTACCCAAGTGATTGTTGTTGTGAAGAAAACCCTTTGTAAACTTTGACATTGTATCTGAATTATTCTTATTAGTGTACTCTAAACAAGATTTTGCAAAAGAAATATCTTTGGTCAGATCATGTGTTTTGATTTTTTGGTTCAGAAAATTTTATTCACCATATTTTCTGGTTATGTGGAAAACTTTTTTTTTTGTAATGGTTGGAATGCATGTTAATTACATGAGCTACAGGTCTCTATTAGCACCAGGGAGAGCACCTTGTTTATTAGTTTTTTTTTTTTTTTACCAGCCTCCTTCCTGAGTCATTGTCTTTCCAGTCCCAGCAATTGGGAGAGGGTGAAGCTCAAAGCAAAGATTGGAACAATCATGATTTCATAGGATTTACGGCTGGAAGGGACAGCTCCAGGCTTGAAACGCTAAAATTAAGCGTGATGTTACTATGTCAGTCAATGTAGCTTATTCATACTTAAATGGATCTGTGATCTCATCTGTTTGGACATCCTTTCCAGTGTACAGATGGCAACCTTATTACATGTCATCCTGGTCCATGTCGTTCCTTAAACTCAATACCATGGAGTCTTCCTCTGGTTTTTTTAATTCCTCTAAGTTACCAACATGGCATTTAAAGACCTTCACAATGTGTCTCCAGCCTACCTTTCCAAGATTATTATTCTCTTTCATGAGCTGTACATTCCAGCCAAACTGGTCTACTTGCTGTTTCCTGTATTCTACATTCCATCTTCCATCTCTGTGCTTTTGAACAGGCTGTTGTCCGTGTTTGGAATGCACTTCCTCTTCACTACCTCCTTTTAGAATCCTTAACTTCTTTCAAGGTCCAGTTTATGTGCTACTATCTACACAAAGCTTGTCTTGATTTTCCGCAATTGCTAGCACCCTCCTCTCTGGGAGCTTATCTTGTCTATATTTTGTATTAACTTCTGTTTTCATATTGTTTCCCCCCAATAGTATGGAAGATCTGCAAGAGCAGAAACTTTTTAGCTCCTGTCTTTTTATTCCCAATGTGTAGCACAATGCTTGGCACATAGTAGGTGCTTAAGATAAATGCTTGCTGAATGAATGAGCAATAGCCCTTAGAGTGTCTGTTGTCCTTACTCTCTCTACATGAGCAGCCCATTTCCCTTTCTGTCATATGTGTAGATGGTGAAATGATTTATGTCCCCTCTTGTCAAAATTATTGGCAATATTCATTGTAATTCACCATTATTGGGTTGAATCTTGATTATCTAATTACATTATACAATTGCATAGATCATAGCTATTCATTCATAGGATCATAGATTTTAGAGCTGGAAGAAATCTTAGAAGCCATCATCTAATTTAGTGGTAAATCAAACTCAAATAGAAACTGGGGCTGTATATTGACTTAGAAAACCACAAATTTGCATAACCTATGTTGTATTTTAGGCAGCTAGATGGCTCAGAAGATAGTGTACTAGGCCTAGAGTGAGGAAAAGCTAAGTTCAAATCTGGCCTCAGACACTTACTAGCTGTGTCACTGGGCAAGTCACTTAACTTCTGTTTGCCTTAATCTACTGGAGAAGGAAATAGCAAACCACTCCAGTATCTTTGCTGAGAAAATCCCATAGACAGTGTTGGCATGCTATGGTCCAAGGGGTCACGAAGACTCAGACACAATTGAACAACAACAAAAATGCTGTATTGCATTTTTATTTATTTTGTTAAACATTTCCCAATTACACTTCAGTCTGGTTCTGGCAGGGAATTTTGCTGTCCTTTTAAAGCCCACAGGCCGAAAGGGAGCCACCTCTGATTTTAGTTCAAACTCTTCATTTTACAGATGGGAAAATTGAATTCAGAGAGTTTCAGTTACTTGCCCAGTATCACACAAGTAGTTAATAGCAGAGCCCGGATTTAAACCCAAATCCCTCCACTCCAGAGTAAGCGCTCTTTCAATTGTACTAGGATACCTCTTGTTCTTCATATAAGTTACAAGGTGACATATCACATGCGTACCAATATTTAGTTATCATATGAAATTTACAAAAAAAGTAGGTTGGTTAAAGTTATATTAGTAGTTTGTAAATAACTTTGAGGATTAAAGGGATTTAAAATATATAATGAAATGATTTTTGTATTAAAATTAATTTAAATTTGAGCTTCATTGAGTTCTCATTAAGAGTAATTTAGGAGAATGGGAGGAATAAAAATTGAGAGATACTGTTACATTTTCAGTGATAAATATTTTTTAATCATCTTTGTATGCTTTCAAGTGCCAGCTGTGATTGTAAGATGGCTCCTATGAGCTGTTTTTATTTAGTTGAAATAGGCCCTAGGTTCTGTCTAAGGTCTAAGGGCATGGTCACTATATCCAGCAGAGCCTGAATTACTAGATAGTAAACACCTTCAAAGATTCTTGTTAGCATATTATTGCCTTCAGTCAACCTTATTATTAGTAGTACCATTGTTATTATGGTTTATGTAGGGCTTAATGTTTGCGAAGTACTTTGCAATAACTTAATAGGCCTGATGCTGCACTCAGGATAAACTTCTGATTAATGTCTGTAAGTCTCATAAAGTACACAGGTACTCAAAGATAGCTAAAAATGTCTCACACTTCATTAGTAAAAGTAGAAAGATGAAAGGGAAAAACGCTGGACTCAAGTCCATTATATATCAAGTATTAATACCTGAAGCCCCCTTGAGTAAAACACAGTAAATGCTTTCCAGCTTTCCTGCTGCTTCTGTCCATAACACTGTTCTTACCAGAACTGCATACACAAACCTGACTTTTCCCTTTGAAACCACTGGTTCCATAAAAACATCTATTTTCTAGGCAATATGGAGTATTTATAGTATATAGGGCCACATCTTCTGACTCATATCACTTCCATACGTCTTCCAAAAGCAAGGTTTTTTTTTCATGCTATTTTGCATGCCACTCAAAGACCTTCAATAACTCCCCATGATATACGGATCAGTTTCAGACTTCTTAGTCTAACCATCTGCAATGTTCTAACTAACCTACCTTTCTGACCCTACCACTCATTACTCTATTTTGGAGTCCCAAATTTGCCATGCTTTTTCTTACCTCTGTAGCTTTGCTTGTGCACAGCTACTTGTAATAACCTACTCCTTCCTTTCTACCAGTTCAATTCTTACCTGTCCTTCCAGACCCGCTTAGTTTCAACATCATTCATTTTGCTTTCCTTGGACACAACAAATCACAATGATCTCTCCCTCTCATTGGTAGCGTTCATTATCTGTATCACTCATTTGGTATTTAAACACCATCTGCCTTAGGGAATCAACCCCAGCCTCAGTTTCCTTATCTGTAAAATGATGGGGTTGGACGAGATGGCCTGTAAGG